TTCCTGCTGACGTCATTTGTTCATGACGATTTGCTGCATTTGGTGCGGGACAAGGAGACGTCCAAGGAGATGTGGATGAGCCTTGAATCCGCCTACGCCAAGAAGTCCGTCTCGTCGCAGACATTCGTCAGGAAGCAACTTGCGAAGCTACGAATGATGGAAGGTTCGTCTGTGAAAGATCACCTGAAAACCTTCGAAGAGCTGATCCGACAACTGAAGCTGGCCGGAGCGAAGCTTGAATAGAACGATATTGTGTCCCAGCTGTTTGCTACCCTTCCCGAGTCGTTCGATCCGTTGGTTACGGCACTGGAAAATCTAGGTGAGGAAAACCTAAAACTGGATGTTGTTCGCGAGCGCCTTCTTGCCGAGGAGCTCAAGAAAACCGACCGGGCAGCGGATTCCTGCCAAGAGAAACCTGCAGCATTCCAAGGATCGAAGCAGAAGCCTGGTAAGTTCACCGGAAAGTGTAACCGTTGCCAGAAGAAGGGGCACAAGGCCAAGGACTGTCGTGTGAAGTTGAAGACAGATGGGCGCGCTGAAGCTAACGCTGCTGCTGGAGGTAAGGCGGTGGCTTTTATGACCGGGAGATGCTCCCAAACAAAGGACGAGGGAGCAGTTTCCTTTAAGCTGGATTCCGGAGCCTCGGACCACCTTGTGAATGTGAAGCACTGTTTCGCCGACCTCACGAAGCTGAAGCACCCTGTCGTCATAAACGTGGCGAAGGATGATCAATCCCTGATTTCCCGGCACAGTGGCACGATCAACGGCGTCAACAAGGAAGGTAACTATATCAGCTTGAAGAACGTCCTCTTCGTACCAGATCTTCGAGCGAACTTGCTATCTGTGAAGAAGATGGCAAAAGCGGATCTTGATGTCACATTCACGAAAAAGGAAGCGATCATGAAGCAAGGTCGTGACCTGATTGCGAGATGTCCCATGCGGGGCGATTTTTACGAGCTCGATCTCCGTGTCGATACGGTGGCGGCCAACATGTGTGGAGCTGTGACTGGTAACCTGTGGCATCGTCGACTGGCTCATTTGGGGAGCAAGAGTTTGCAGACACTCGCGAAGCATGGCATGGTAACAGGTATTCCCGAGAAACCAGATAAATTGGATTTTTGTTATGTTTGTGTTCTCGGAAAGCAGTGCCGAGAACCATTCACGGGTACTAGAGTCCGTGCTACAAGACCTCTAGAACGAGTGCACTCCGATGTGTGCGGTCCAATTACACCAGCGGCTTGGGATGATTCTCGGTACTTCGTCACCTTTATTGATGATTACACGCACTTTGCAGTAGTATATCCCATCAAGAAGAAGTCCGAGGTGTTCCAGAAGTTTCGAGAGTACGAGGCCATGGCGAGTGCCGCTCTGGGACATTCGATTTCGAAGCTGACTGTCGACCAAGGGCGCGAGTATTGCTCCAATGACCAGCGTGATTGGTACGTTTCCAAGGGGATCCAAGTCGAGCCAACCGCAGCGTACACACCACAGCAGAATGGAGTGTCCGAACGGTTCAATCGGACAATCGTCGAAAAGGTGCGTGCGATGCTGATTGAAGCCCAAACTCCGAAGAATCTGTGGAATGAAGCGGTTCTAGCGGCGGTATACCTGACAAACAGAAGTCCAACCACCGCGGTATCTGATTGGAAGACTCCTGCGGAAATGTGGACTGGTCACAAGCCGGACGTTAGTAAACTACGTGTGTTCGGCTGTAAAGCATTTGCTTGGGTGTCCACGGCACAGAGGAAGAAACTGGATCCGAAAAGCAAGCCTGCTGTGATGATCGGCTATGCGCCGAACGCCTACCGCCTGTGGAACAAAGAGAAGAAGCAGTTATTCCTAGCCAGAGATGTCAAGTTCGATGAAAACAGTTTTCCGTTTGCCACCCAGATCCGTGACGAAACTCCTTTGGTTTTTGCTCCGTACGAGTTCGAGGATCAAGATGAGGAAGACGTGCAAACCCCTGAACAGTCCGTTCAACCCGATGAGCCGCTGGTGGCTCAACATGACGACATCCTGACTGATGATGAAGAAGGCGAGGTTGAAGACGACGGTGTTGAAGAAACCGGAGCGCTCCCTTCGCAACTAGCCCGTGGTTCAAACCTCGAAATGGAAACCCCGAGGCGCAGCGAACGGGAGCGCAGACTCCCCGGTAAGTTGAAAGAATTTCTGGTTGGAAAATTTTCCCTGCCGCGCAATCCCATTCTGCAGATGTTCCCCATAACGTTTCCGATGTACTATTTGACGGTTCCATTGGACGAGATGAGGCCGAGCGTTCAATCTTCGATGTCCCGGAGGCGTACAAGGAGATCGCTGGACGAGCCGACGAAGCTCTTTGGCAGCAAGCGGTCCGTGAGGAACTGCAGTCGCTAGCGGACAACCATGCTTGGCGATTGGTGAGATGCCCTGCTGGTGTGGTTCCGCTCAAATCGAAATGGGTCTTCCGAATCAAGCCGGACGAGCATGGCGAACCGATCCGTTACAAGGCGCGCTTGGTGGCGAAGGGATTCCAACAGAAGCCCGGAGTCGACTACAACGAAACATATTCCCCCGTAGCAAAGTTAGCCACGATACGAACCGTTCTTGCTGTAGCAACCCACCGAAGGATGCACGTTCACCAACTCGATGTGAAGACCGCATTCCTCTACGGTGAGCTTGAAGAAGACGTCTACATGGCCATACCCGAAGGAGTTGCAGCACCGCCGAACTTCGTTTGCAAGCTGGATCGATCGCTGTACGGACTCAAGCAAAGCCCCCGCTGTTGGAACAACAAGCTAAACGACCTTCTACTGGATTTCGGCTTTACCCGTTCCCGGCATGATTACTGTCTATATACCAGGATCGACGATCGAGGGGGGGTATACATAATCATCTACGTGGACGATTTGCTCATTGCTGGCGATCGACTGGACCTGGTGAAGGAGATCAAGCGTGCTCTTTCCAAGAAGCTCCAGATGACGGATTGCGGCGTGGTTAATCATTTCCTTGGAATGAAGATCCGATACGACCGCGCCACCGGATGCATGTACCTGGCGCAAGAAGCTGCTGTGGACCGTGTGCTGACGAAGTTCGGCATGCAAGACTGTAACCATGTCAAAACCCCAATGGAGAAAGGCTGTTTCCTGCCACCACAAGCTGCGAATCCTGTGTTGCATCCATACCGTCAATTGCTGGGCAGCCTGATGTATACGATGCTGTGTGTTCGACCGGACATATGCTACGCTGTTGGATACCTAGGGCGCTTCCAAGTTCAACCTGATGAGGCCCACTGGCAAGCCCTGAAGAGAGTGGTCCGTTACGTGAAGGGAACGAAGAACTTGAAGCTCCAGTACAAGCAAAACGACGACGCCGAGGCACTTGTCGGGTACGCAGACGCTGACTGGGCATCGGATGCTGAGGATAGGAAATCCGTTAGTGGCTTCGTCTTTAAGGTCTTTGGGAACACCGTGTCTTGGGCAAGCCGCAAGCAACAAACCGTTGCACTGTCGTCGTGTGAAGCCGAGTATGCAGCTTTAAGTGCCGCGGCCTCCGAAGGGCTGTGGCTGCACGGAATCCTTGAAGACCTGAAGCAAGTTCGACCGGACACGGCATTCAAGGTGTACGAAGACAACCGTGGGTGCATTGCAATGGCCACAAACACCGAAAGCAAGCGTGTCAAGCACATCGATGTAAAGCACCATTTTTTTTGCGCGACCATGTGGCACAAGGAAGACTTCAAATCGAAACAATTGATACAGCAAACCAAATAGCGGACACGTTCACCAAGCCCCTGGAACCTGGACGTTTCCGCGAACTGAGGACCCTCCTAGGACTGACCGATTCAGGGGGGGTGTTGGAGTAAATCGGTAACGCAGTGTGCTGATCACCTCCTTGGAGACCGAACGTCACCCCTAGCAACCTAAGTTTTCTTAAATAAACAACGGTGAAAAACTTTTCATTCCTGTTCAACACTCCACTCAAGCTAGTCGTTAAATAAAATCCATTCTACTTTTAAACTTTGCTGTTCCGGTTCTTTCTAACCATCAAGAATAATTTTCCGTGAAAATATCACTGATGCATAACGAAATAGTAACAGTTTGTTTGCAAAAACGTTTTCTTCTTCTTCTTCTTCGCATTTCAAGCTTATTGCATATAGGCTTCCCGCATAAACAATAACCATAAGATGCGCCTAACCACCAATTCGGGATATCATCCCAATTTTATGTGGTATGGTCGCACCATCTAAGATATCGTCAGTATAAGGTACACGTTTATGCATATCGCATATTAGCTTATTGCGTGCTCTCAACTTAGTGTTCTAGATGCACTTCCACAGTTATTAATTGAGAGCTTTCGATGCCTGTACCATTTTTGCATTGGTATAATTGTGTGGCAAAGTCCAATCATACTTCTATGCCCAGGGAAGTCGAGAAATTTTCCAACCCGAAAAATTCCTAGACGGGACCGGGAATCGAACCCAGCCACCTCCAGCATGGTCTAGCTTTGTAGCTGCGCCTTTACCGACTGAGCTAAGGGAGGCCCCTAAGGGAGGCAAAAACGTTTTACTATACGCGAAACAAGCAAAAGCTTCCACGGAAAAGCATTAGTGTTTCTTTATGGACCAATTTTTCAACTAGGAGTTCTCACTTCGAAATGTAGGTGGATAAACCTGGCAAAAGTTTCACTGCAAAACGTCAATAAATCGCAGTAACTTTTTTTAATAACGACATCCGTTCGAAAACCAACCATTTAATAACATTTTGTCGTATCCGCCCATCTCTTTCTCTGAGCATTAATAATTAATATTATGATAATTATAATACTAAATATTAATTAATTAATAATTATTATTATTATTCTCCAGATTTTTCTACAAGCGGTGAACGGGCACGTTGACAAACTGAGCGCCCCTCGAACAAAAAAAAATAACGTTACGAACGTAACGTATCAACATGACGTTTTATATGCCAAAACCCGAACCCTCCGTGCACCCACCCCCTCGACACCCATATATATATCAGCAGTCGACCGTTGATACGACGAACAGGAAAACCGATCCGCGACGAGCTTCTCCGTTTTGTTCATCGCTGTTGGGTCGCAGTCAAGTCAGTCGCATTTCCAAGACGTCAAACGACGAGTCGAAAGGTCGCTCGCATACAAAACTACTATTCGCGGAACAACGACGGGAAAAGTGAGGTGAAAAATTCAATTTTATTCGTGTCATTCTGATTAACTCGCGAGGGTGCAAGGTTTTGGACATCGCTTCTACAACGTTCCGAAGAAGTTAACGTTTTCAGCGCGGTTGGTTGTGCGTACGTGTGTAAAAATTCGGTTCCAGATGGTGAAGAAATTCCTATCAGATTCCGATTCCTGCTGCTGGTGCCTGTGAGATAGGTAGATAGAGCGAGAAAGCGTGTGCATGTTTTTCTGGTGGTGTAAAAATACGCTTAGTCCCCCTCTGTGTGTGCATCATCTTTTAAATCCGTACCTCGTCCCTTCCCCTGCATAATAATAATAGAGTGTTCTCTCGGAAAAGTGTACCAGAGTGAATCGAAAAAGGAAAAGACCATCATCGGGGCGATATAATTGCATCCAAATACCGAACTTTGTGCACTGCCAGAGATCAGTATGGCCGACGAAAAAATGATTCCGGAAGTCCCGGCAGCCGACGAACAGATCGGTTTCCTGACTAGCGTCCTCAACGAGATTATCTACAGTCCGCTGAACCTGATCCTGGTCGGGGTCATTACCATTCTGGTGTACAAAATATTCCGCAGCCAGAAGCAACCGGCGGCCGGACCTCCACCGGAACCGGAATTGCCTCGCCTCAGAAGGGACTTTACGGTGGCGGAACTGCTGCAGTACGACGGAAAACAACAGGACGGACGGGTACTTGTTGCCGTCAATGGCAGTGTGTATGATGTAACCAAGGGAAAGCGCTTCTACGGACCCGGTGAGTGTGTACAATATTACTTCTTGTTGTTGGCGTGGTTTTGTTTCACTTTTCTCGAGGTTTTTTTTTTCTTTTTGCTTTTACGTGTAGGGGTTGTTAGCATTTTGCTTCCTCCACATGCACATTGCCGAGGTAGGTGGGTAGGTGTACATTACGTACATGGCCGTGTTCTTTCTGTCTTGGTCAAACTGGGCTGCACTGTCTGCCTGTATGAAGTTTAATTGCTTTTATGGACCTTTCGATTGAGATTTATGTAAGCTACGCTTCATATCGCGCTTAGGCAGTCTTATCCAGGGGTCTTAATGCTGCCTGTAACGGAATTTCTACTTAGTTGACAACCGCTTACGGTACAGATATCGCGCATTTCGACTCATAGTCTATGAGTCATATAGAGTGTTCAAGTTTGACTATTATCGGATTTGTTTTTTGCGAATCCGAACTTTTTATCAGTGCGAATCTCAACCTGAGGACAAATCTTAATACCCGATCAATCTACATTGATCGATACTCTTCATCGACTCTCTCTTTCGTTGATAACTTGGGTGCATTCATTTTTAAGGGCTAATTTTTCTACATAGTCTGCTAAAAGAAAGGATTATTAAGCGTAGAGATTTAAGGCGAGGATTTAAATTTTCAAAAGATATGTATATGATTAGCATCACATTAAAACCACCTACGGGAAGTTGTTTCATTAGTTCACAATCCACCATTTTCTATTTTTGAATTCTCTTGCAAGCAATCACTTCATTGCAATTTTATCAGTTGTCACCTTATAACAAACAACGATAGGTACTATCCGTTACTTGAAAATACACCCAACCGACATTTAGCAAAGGTTTGAAGAATTGAAATTCCGCTAATCATTTCTGACTCGTCCAATCAGCAGTGCGCTTACTCCGAGATAACAGAGACCCGCGCAAATAACGTTTGCGATAACTTTCGCACTCACATCGCCGTCAAGTTCATGGCCTTGAATAGACAAATTAAACTGTGAGTTTTATCTCACTCTGTTCTGTTGTCTACGTTGGTACCTACATGTTGAATTGAGGAGTACGCCAGATTTAGAGTCGTGCAATCATCTGCCAGTTAGCGTATCATTTTCAACCTGTCAGTATTAAAATGGGTAAATAAATACCCGTCGTAAATGTGTCGATCGTGGCGAGATCTTGTATGCTCTCAGTGATCTCAGTTCCGAAAATATTTTCTCGATGCACGCAGTCCCGAAGACACACCCGTGTTCGCAATTCGCGCATCGACAGCCGAGCATTAGTTTGCCTTATTTACTGTTATTGTCATTCTGTCATCTACTACATAGGAATAATAACCATCATCGCCGGCCGTTCGGTGCAATGATGTGCACACTGAGTCAAACAATTATTGTCCATGCGGGAAGTCAAGCACTGCTGACTCAAGTTGTTTCAAAGATGAAGTTGTAGTGTCTTCAGAATTTTTTTTTAAATTGGATTAAAGCACATCTGATATCTACATCGTTGCAGAGCTCATCATTTCCATAAACTTTGTTGACGGCACCAATTTTTAGAAATTGTTCTTTTTAACTGAGATATGATTGAAGCTTTTTAATGCATGTAACACTAGTTTACAAAACAACATAATAAGTGTGAACTTTAGTGGTTGGCCAACGTTTCTAATGCAAAATCCTACGCTGAATTCAATGCCGTGGTCAGAAAAAATTAAAGTAGAGCCATTTTTGAGATATACAAAAATTTTGATTTTTTGAATTTTGGACAAAAGTACGATTATTAAAATGTCAATATCTTTGGAACTAGTGCACCAATTTTAAATCTTTTTTTATGAAAATGAAGCTAAATAAATTTGCTATCGTTCCCTAGAATATTAAGTCTTAATTAAAATTTTAATTTTAAAGTCATTTAAAAATTTACAGCATTTTTTTTATTTTTCCTGCGAATTTTCCATAAAAATCTTGTTTTAATCAACATTTTTAATGGGATAAAAAGATTCAAAAAATCATTCCATAATTTATTCTTGAAGTCCATTAAAAACTGGAGAAAATGAGCCTATAATGGATGAAATCGGTTGGAAATTGTCGAAGTTATGAATTTTTTTTGTAAAATCATGGAAATTGAATGTTCCAAGATTGGCCGTTGTCCCGCTCCTAGGTTCATGCACCACTTCCAGTAAGCCTTTCTGCGGACGTGTACGCATACGGTGCATTTCACTAACACTACCAGCTGTCACGCAAAATTAAATGGGATATTTTCAACAATATAATTTACGCTAGTGTTTGTGAGACCGCTCGGCGAGAACCTAACGCAACCAACTCAATTTGACAGCTTTCTTTCTTTAACATTGCTTAACGATGTATACGACAAAACGTGAATTCAAGTGTAAAAATGATCCTCAAAAGTTTTGTTAAGCGTGTGGCAACTATATATTTACAAAATCGGTCAATTTCACTGCTTCGTTGCAAACTGCATACAGGCTTTATTTTAAAATTGATCCTGGAGACTTTGACGAACCGTGGATTCCAAAAGTATTATGTAGTTCGTGCAAAACGTGCTTGGCTAGGTGGATGTCAGGCGCAAGGTAAATTGATTTTTTGAATAACTTTTTATGTACAGCATGGTAGTGCTTTGTTCTTTCCTGATCGACATTATCTTACTTCATCTATTTTTGATAAGTGTTAATGTCTTACTTACTAACTCACTTATTTGTTATCTGTCAGTCGCTATTTGTCCTTTGACATGCCCACCATATGGCGTCGACCGTTTTGTCATGCAACGGATTGTTATTTCTGCTTGACAAAAGTTAAGCAACAAGGACGTCACAAAACAGTTGAGTATCCACAAGTGGCTTCTATGACAAAACCTGTTCCACATTCAAGTTCGGTCCCGTATCCTGTTTATCCAAAGCGGAAACGAGCGCCCTCTGTTGAATCGACCGTTACAAAAAGTGAGGAGGAATTCAAGGAGGAATGCGAGGAAGACTTCGAGGTGGAATTGGAAAGACACCCAAAACTGTTTACACAATCCGAATTTAATGATTTGGTGCGAGATCTCGACTTATCGAAGGAGAAATCCGAATTGCTGGCATCACGCTTGAAAGAACACAACATGCTGAGCAAGGAGGTCAAAATTTCTTGTCACAGGAATCGTCACAAGAAATTTGACAAATATTATTCTACAAAGGACAAGGCATGTTTTTGCCATGACATAAACGGCTTGTTTGAAGAGTTTGGTGAGCCATATGATCCAGCTGAATGGCGTTTATTCATCGATAGCAGCAAGTTGAGCTTGAAAGTCGTTTTACTGCATCAAGGAAATGAGAAACCTTCTATTCCATTAGCTCATGCCGTTAATATGAAGGAAACGTATGAATCAATGGCTCTTTTGCTCAATTTGATAAATTACAATCAACACAATTGAAAAATTTGTTCCGATCTTAAAGTGGTTGCCATGTTGATTGGATCGCATCTCTCCCTGATTGGCATACCGTACTCGATTACGGGAAGGATGATTTGTTTGTAGACAGCAAGCTTATTTTTCAGGGACAGGGTAGACCTCCTGTTGAGTGGATACAGGGATCTTATCAGGGTGTTACAGTTGGTTTTCGTTTTATCAACGTGCTCCCTGAAAATCAGCTTGCTGTCTAGTGTTAAGCCAAAGTAGACTACCTCTTTCGAGCATTCCACCACTGTGCCGTTCAGGTAGATCTTATTATTCTCCGACGGAACAAGCCTGGGAGATTTAGAGTGTGAAAAGATGATGACCTGGGTCTTTGCCGCGTTGATACGAATCTTCCAGCAGTTGTCCAGGCCTCTCTGAAGTTTGGCTGTCAGAGCTCCGATGACCCTACCCATGTAGACGATGGATGTGCCATCTGCGAACAGAGACCACGATCCACCATCAGGGAGAGCCGGCATATCGGATGTGAACAGGTTGAATAGAATGAGGCCAAGGATGCTTCCTTGTGGAACCCCAGCACCGATGTTGAAAGCATCCGATGTGATGCCATTCAGAGAGACTCGCAACGTCCTGTTCGATAGTTATTTGGAAGACCGTACTGCTGCAATTTGAACACCAGGCCATCATGCCAGACATTGTCGAACGCCTTTTCAACGTCCAACAACGCCATAGCAGATGTTTTCGACACAGACTTGTTCCGTCTGAGAATGTTTGTTACTCGAGTCAGCTGCTGGACGGTCGAACGACCTTTTCGAAAACCAAACTGTTCCTCGAGTAACAAGTTGTTTTCTTCGGCACATGTTACGAGAAGGTGATGGACTGCTCTTTCGAACAGTTTTGATAACCCTGAGAGAAGGCTGATTGGTCGATAACTTGAAGGAGAGGACGCATCCTTCCCAGGTTTCCGGATGGGTATGACTTTAGCTGACTTCCATCACTCAGGGTAGTAGCCAACTCGGAGGCACAGATTAAAAATCAGTGCCAGATGGTTGTAGAATCTGGAACTCAAGTGTTTGAGTTCCAGATTCAGGATTTTGTCGAAACCTGGGGCCTTCATGTTTTTAGATGATTTGATATAGGCCTCATAGCCTAGTCAGTAAAGGCACGGTATTACCAAGCCGGAGGCGGCGGGTTCGATTCCCGGTCCGGTCGAGGGAATCTTTCGGGTTGGAAATTTTCTCGACTTCCCTGGGCATAGAGTATCATTGTGCTTGCCACACAATATACAAATTCATGCATTGGTATTGGCATCGAAAGCTCTCAATTAATAACTGTGGAAGTGCATTTAGAACACTAAGTTGCGAGCACGCAATAAGTTAATATGCGCTAAGCAATAAGCTTGAAATGCGAATAAGAAGAAGAAAATATAGGCCAACAGCTCGTCAGCCGTAATCTCGGATTCCACGGGAAAATGATTAGGAATCTGATGGAGGTTGGTTGCGTTTACAGCAACCTCAGCTTCGTGAGGGCTGACGATGTTTTGTCCAAGATTATGGGAGCTGCCGAAGTGTTGACCTATCGCGGCAGCGTTCTCTTCAGGAGTTATCAGATGAGCCA